CTGTGCGCGCCGTGCAATCTTAGCGCCCATCAAGGATGCCTTCTCCAAACGACGACGTCGAGCAGCTCGAGCAAGCCGGCGCCGCCACCAAGGTCGACGCCCAAGTAAGATACTTGAGCCTGCGCCTCGATGGTGAAACCAGCTCGCTTGACTGCCTTTGCCACGTGCTTTGCATCAGACATGTGTGTGCACAGAACTGCTGACTTGACTGCTACCTGCAATCTCTGCTTGCGCAACCCTTTGCACGCGTCAATGATAACTCTGGCAAGAAGCTGTCAAATCTTTTTCCCCGAACTCTTGATGCTCTGCGTCGAACCATCTATCCAGATGCGATGAGAAACATGGGGATGCATGGTTGCGATGACACGCAGAACGAAGAAGACCATCATCCGAGCGAATCGCGTGCCAGATCTCCATCCTTGAACTATGCTCTGCGCGGGGCACAGCGGGGCAGAATGCGCTCCAGCCTGGCGAAGGGTGCGCGGAGCAGCACGCTGCTCAACCTCCAGCGCCAAGATGGCGGGCGAGAAACCGACCTTCAGAGCGCCCTCGATGAGCAAGTCCCACGACACCGCGTCGTAGAACCCTTTGATTTCTAAAAGGCCGTTGCCGGTGGACAGAGATAAATGATGAGCCAACTCTTCACCTAATACTCTCAGGAATGCCTCCCTGAGGGCGGCATTTCCAGCGGCAGCCTCATCTCAAGAAGGGGCATTAAGATCTGCCCATTCGGCCACCTCTGGTTCTCTACACATCGACCACATACGAGCGAACGTGGCGAGTATTCCAACGACTCGATCTCCCGTGCCCTTGTGCTTCGGCATCACGTGACCGATGACGAGCTGGGTCTGTGCAGGCCAAGCTAAAACAGATTCCATGGCCTCGAATATCGAGATGAGCTCAGACAAGGCTGGGTTAGGGAGCCGTTCCAGATCACGAGGGGACAGGCGATCGACTCCTTGGCCTAGCCTGGCCGCATGCGCTCGGCGGCTGCTCTCGCACCGTCAGGGGTGAGATCTGCCAAGGGCTCGTCCTCAGCAGCTGCTCGAATTTTAGCGAATGCTCGATCCAAGCGATCATAATCTTTACTTTGTGGGCACCAGATTGCTGCCCAGTGCTTCTTCTTATGGTCCATGATGTCCGAGGGGTTGCGGGGCGCAGAATTCTGGGCGATGGGCTCTTGCTGGATCAAGGGCTCGTCTCGAATGTTACGGTGAAGTGCGCCCAGCGCCTCTGGGCCATCTACCCGCGCCTTGAAGCGGTTGAGGTATGCTTTGATGGCCTTGCCTTGGACGCGCTCGCCCAACTGAAGTATCGAACTCTCAACCTTGGACAGACCATTGTCTGAATATTCCTGCAGTGTACTCAAAAACCGAATCAGCGTAGAGAAACCTGGCTCCTGAGGTCGCAGTACCTGCTCTGCTTTCTCTGGAATGTCGCCAAGAAGCTTTGCCATTGAGTCTGAGAGATCCTGAATCTGCTTCCCACCGTGTCTCCGACCTCGGTGGCGGCTGATCGCGGCAGCCACCGTGGCGAGGCGAGTCCACCAGTTGGCTAGCACGTCCTGGAAAGGCCGGGGCCGCGAGTGCTCAGCCTGGGGGACCTCGCCGACGCGGAACGCATGGCCCTGAGCTCGACTGGGGCCCGCGGGGATACCAAAAGAGTGGTGGGTACATATCGCTGCCCCCACTGCAGTGGCCCAGGAGGCGCAAAGGCCCGTGAGGGCTACAACGTGACTTGGGCAAAAACGGTAACAGACAGACGATGCGATGTGGCCGTGTATTTTACAAGCGAAGCTGGGAACAAAACCGACCTGAGCACGAATAGCATTCCAAAGAGACTCGGGCATGCTATAATTCGGGCTGGGGGTCTCCTCCAGGGGCTCGTCTAAGCTGGTTGGGGTTGGCGATGCGCGCGCACGGAGACGGAGCAGAACTTTCTTGCAGCAGCCAATCATCCTCTGGCCACGCGTCGAGGTCCTCTCCGCCCTCGCCGTCAGGAGCACCAAGGAAAGACCGCGCACCACCAGGGGAACTCTCAGGAGGCTCATCAGATGGTGCAGGTTCCAGGCGGTCCCCGAACATTGAATTATGCACTTCAGCCCTACGCTGACGCGACAAACCTTGCTTAGCTTTACTGGCAGCTTTGGCCTGGGGCGCTTCCGAACCAGGCGCGGGGCAGCTCTAGGTCTGGACACTTGGGAGCTTACCTGGCAGGGGCAACATCCGTGGGAACCATCTGAGACCCTTGCGAATGAAACTGGACTGCCTTGTCTGAATGCGACTTCCACGGAACATCCAAAACAGGTGAAATTTGCTTTCTGTACGCTCCGGCCGGCAGACTACAAAGTAACTCGTCTATATGGGAACCCGCGCGGCCAGAGGGGCACGTCACATCTGTCGGGGCCTGGACGACTTGCCCCCCGACAGAATCTATAAATCCTGACCGGGCTAACGACTGAGGGCTCATGCTAAAGTCCCCCGCTACTGCCCGGGGCACCTGCAATGACATTAAAAGCGACCCTAGATGGTGGAGGCGAGCGATGTTTCGACTCGACATGCCAACCGACGGATGCGCATAGAAACAAATCGCTGCAACTGAAAAGCTTCGAAAATGGACGGGAGTGGGGGCGAAACCGCCCCAGCGCGCGCGACCCTGGGCGCGCGCAGCTCGCCCGCTCTCACCTGCGAGAAGCTGATGTGCCTGAAGGTGCCCTCGCGCCAAACGCCATCCACCTCCTTTTTTGCCGCCTGCTGACGCGACTGAGAAACGATTTTGGCAGAAGGGCGAGCTCTTGTCGCAACCAATCTAAGATGATTCAATCTAGCTTGTTTGTCGCACTTCTTCAAGTTGGCCGCGGAAGCGTGGGTTTCCACGAAGCCGAAGAAGTCGAAGTGGCTGTTTTTTTATTTGACTCCGCGAATCGCCAGCACTTGCCCCCCATGGCAGTGACGATGGCGAAGAAGAAGCTGCTGGTGCGATGCCGCGCGCTGCCCTCGCGACCTGGCTCGGGGCCAGGCGCGGCAGCTGCCGCCGCAACCACTTGGGGTGCGTAGTCCTGCAGCGGTGCCAAAGGCGCTCCCGTGGCGGCAGCTGACTCAGCTAGTCAAGCCGCCGCCCCCCCTGGTGGGCCGCCTGGGCCCTTGCCCCTGGGCGCTGCGTCGCCGCCCTTGCCCTTGCCAAAGGCCGTGCGCTGCGCCTCCAACTTGGCGGCCGAGATCTTGGCGGCGGACTCGGCGATCAGCTTGGTCTTCTTGGGCTGCACCTCGGGGCTGGCAGCGGCGCCAGTCTTCTCATCAGCAGCGGCGGCGGCGGGAGCAGCCTCAGCAGCGCTGTCTCCACCGCCGGGGGCGGCAACGCCACCCTCGCCCTTGCGCTTCTTGGCCAAGCGATTCTCGACGTCCACCTTCAAAGCGGCCGCCTCTGACAACTTAGCCTTGACCTCCTCGTTTTTCGCGGCGAGCTGATCACGGAGGCCGATGAGTTCGGCCCTGAGTTTCCTCACGGTCTCGCGCTCCTCCTGCTTCAGCTCTAACTCGTCGGCGTGCTCAAAGACCGTGTCGTCCCAAGTGACCTGGAAGTTGGGCGCCGTGGAGTCTGCCTGGGGCTTCCCCTCGGCCTTGGGAGCGACTCCTTCAACTTTTGCGAAACATGCCGATGCAACTTTCTTGGCCTCCTCGGCCTGCGCTAAAACCTCTGCTGTTTTGCACTCCTTCTCCTCCGCGCGCTTCAGAGACGCGCGAAGTTTGAGAACATTGATGACGCAGTGGGCGCGCTTGTGGTCTGCGTCCTTCCAAGCCCCAACTGCCCTGCGCACCGACTCGATGGCCATGCCTGAATTGGCGTCGGACACCGCGGAAGGGGGTCGGCTGCAGGTGGCTGATCCTCTTCTGCCTCATCGCACGGAGCTGCTCGTCGGTTGTGGTGGCCACTAGCTGCTGGGGCGACGTGACTTCATCCGCTGCGCCTGGCTGGGGAGCTCGAGCACCGCCCGCAACCTGTGCCGCGTTGGGGTCCTTAGTGCGAGGCTTATACAGACGAACTTTGCGACCGCATTTGGAACACTTACAATCGTTGGTCGACAAGATGCTGATCCACTCGAAACGGCCGCAAGCCTAGCACTGACTCCAGGGGCTCTGGGCTGCCTGGCCTGCGGGGTCGGCGCCTTCGAAGCAACGCCCGCGGCTGCGACTCTCTCTTTAGTCACGGCAAGTGGCGGCCAAAAGCTGGCGCATGTGCGATGGACCTCAAGCGCCTCGTGACGGCAAGAGAGCGGCCCAGGCAAACTGCTCAAGCCCAAGTGGCTTGAATGGGGCCCTCTTGGGGTGTTCCAGGGCCGTCTTGGAAGCAATTTTGGGCGTATTGGGGGTCTCTTGGGCCGTCGTGGGGCCTTTTGGGGGCCGTCCTGGCGGCTTCTGGGGCCGTCGTGGTGCCATCTTGGAGGCCCCTTGGGCGATCGTGGTGCGATGTGTGGGGCCCTCTCGGGCAACAACAACAAATGCCCAAGTACTTCAAAACCAATGCAAAATCAATGGATGTGGCTTCTTCGGGCCTTCCTGGGGGCCCTCTTGGAGGCCTCTTGGACCGTCTTGGAGACCCCTTGGGGGCCTCTTGGGCCGTCTTGGGCCATCTTGGAGCCATCTTGGGGCATCCGGCCCGTCTGACGCCATCGGAAGCGGTCTTGAGGACCCTCTGGGCCGATCTCCAGGGCCGTCTTGGAAACCATCATAGGCGTTTTGAAGGTCTCTTGGGCCGTCTTGGGTCCCTATTGGGGCCGTCTTTGGGGCCTCTTGGGCCGTTCTGGGGACGTCTTGGAGGCCCCTTGGGCGATCTTGGGGCGATCTTTGGGGACTCCTGGGCCTTCTCGGTCCGTCAGAAGGCCGAACGCAGCAAATGCTCAAGTCCTTCGAAAACCGAAGGAACATAATACAATCAATGAGTTTGACCTCTCCGGGCTCTCTTGGAGGCCCTCTTGGAGGCGTCTTGGGCCTCTTGGGGGCCTCTTGGGCCGCCTTTAGCAATCTTGGAGCCACCTTGGGCCGTCTTGGTGGCTTTCTGGCCCGCCTGACTCCTTCCGAAGCCGCCTTGGGGGCCTCTCTGGGCCGACTTGGGACCCTCCTGGGGTGCTCCAGGGTCGTCTTGCAGGCCATCTTGGGCGTTGTGAAGGAGTCTTGGGCCGCCTTGGGGCCCTCTTGGGGCCGTCTTGGGGGCCTCTCGGGCCGTTCTGGGGCCGTCTTGGCGACCTCTTGGGCGATCTTGGGGCGAGCTTTGGGGGCTCCTGGGCCATCTCGGGCCGTCGGAAGGCCGAACAGAAGCAAATGCCCAAGCCTTTCAAACACCAAAGGAAAATCAACGAAGTTGGCCTCTTCGGGCCTTCCCGGAGACCCTCTTGGAGGCCTTTTGGGCCGTCTTGGAGGCCTCTTGGGGGCCTTTTGGGTCGTCTTGTGCCATCTTGAGGCCATCTTTGGCCGTCCTCGTGGCTTCTTGGGCGGACTTGGAGGCATCTTGGACCCTCTTGGGCCGTCTTCGAGGTCATCTTGGACCATTTTGGGTACATTTGGAGGCCATCATCTTGGCCCTCTTGGAGACCATCTTGAGCCTTCTTGGTGGTTTTTGTCTGACATTGAAGTCGTTTCCCGGCCTTCGGCGTGGCCGGCAGGACGGGCCGAAGCGGCAGGGGGAGTTTTTTTCGGAAAAGAACCAAAACCAAACCGTGTAGGGTCCAGCACGCCAGGTACCCGTGTGGCAAGACCACAGGGGGCGGGGGATTGAATCGCCTTCGGTCCATCTCGCCACCGTGCGTGGGTTGTGGGTCATAGGCCTCTAGGATGTTCGTTGGGATGTCGCGGAGCCTCTTGGACTCTTGAGGGCCGTTTGGGAGGCCTCTTGACTGCCGTTTCGGGGCCTCTTGGAGCGTCTTGAGGGCCTCTTGGGGGATTCTTGGGGCCCCTTGGCGCCTCCTTTGGCCTCGTGGGGGCTTCTTGGGGCGGAACACTCGGATTTTCTGTTCGTGTTTCCCTTCTTGGGGCTGCTTTTGAGACCTCTTGTGCCGTCTGGGGGCTCTCTTGGGGGCCTCTTGGGCCGTCTTGGGGCGAACTTCGGTGCCCCTTGCGCCGTCTCGGAGGGTTGGAAGCTCGAAAAGTCCAGGCCCCCCAAACCATTGAACCACCGAAAGAAAATCAGCGATGTTGGTTTATCGGGTCACCCATTGAGAAGGCTCTAGGGGCTCTTGGGTCGCCCCGAAGGTCTCTTGGGCCATCTTGGGGCCCCCTTGGGCGTCTTGGACCGATCGTGCGGCGATCCGAAGCGCTCTTGGACCGTCGTGGGGCCCTCTTGGCCAGTCCTGGGGCCGTCATGGCCATAAAAAGTCACGCGGTAAGACGCGGCGCGCCCAAGGGGATTAGGTAGTTTGGAGTCCGGGTCCCTTTCAGCATCCCGGAATTGAGGACTGAGGCTGAAAGGATGAGTCGGAGTATCCAGTGATGGATTTTCATTGCGGGAGGTTGCCCATTCGAAGACAACCGTCTGAATATCTTCAATCGTGCCAAAGCACAGATCGTGGAACGCCAACGCCGCGTATCAACGTGACTGTTGCGTCTTGGTAATGCTAAACCGTGCCAATTTCAACACCTCGAATTTACATAACTATTGCGTCCTGACAGTCCTAAGTGGTTCCAGAACGCCATTCCTGGACTTCATCCGTACGACGCCTTGACGCTTTCGCTAACTTTTCCGACGAATCTTCGCGGCGCTAAGACGACATTTTCACAAGGAGCCGCCTTTCATGTTTGAATTCGCTATATGCTTTACCGATGAATGTGTGCGCGCTAAGGCAAGAGCCACATGTTGAAAATGAGCCACCTTCCATCCGCGAATCTGTTGCAAGCTTTGGTGACGACCGTGCGCTGCGCTGAAGCGAGAGCCACATTTTGACACCGACCCGCCCTCCATCCGTGAAACGGTTGCAAACTTCTAACAAGAATGTGCTCGTCGCTAAGGCGAGAGCCACATATTGAAACCGATCCGCCCTCCATCCGTGAAACTGCTGCACATTTCAAGCTTCAGGATCTCAAATGGTGAGGAAGTCTCAGACGAAACGCCTGGCTCATCCTATCGACACGTCTTGGTGTGCGACAGGGATGGGTCATTTAGCCTAGCCGGCGTGGACCCCAAAGAGTGATTTCTTGCATTCTATGCGGGGCAATCTAGGTGGTGCTGCCTAGGTGGTGCAATCCAGGTGGTGAAATCCATGTAGTGTAATCTTCGTGGTGCACAGCAATGCAAAGCAATGCAACATAATGCAAGGCACTGCAACGCAATGCAAAGCAGTGCAACGTAATGCAATGCAATGCAAAGCAATGCAGAACACTGCACAGCAATGCAAAGCAATGCAATGCGATGCGATGCGATGCGAAGCAAAGCAAAGCAATTCAACGCAATGCAACGCAACGCGTACTCTGAAACGCGACCCAAAGGAATGCAAAGGAATGCAAGCCAATGTACAGCAATGCAAAGAAGTGCAAAGCAGTGCAAAGCAATCCAATGCGATACAATGCAACGCAAAGCGATGCCCAGCAGCGACGGCGGCGACGGGCAGCAACGGCTGCGACGGCTGCGACGGGCGACCACGAGCCTGCCGGACCAGTACTGGAGCTCAGTTACTTTAGAACCGAAGTAAGAACCGCTAAGTGCGAGCCCTGTTTGGGGAAAGAGGAAAAGGGATGGAGGAGAAGGACGGGCAGGGGGCGGACGAGGAGGAGCAGGAGGAGGAGCTGGAGAGGATGAAGGGAACGAGACGAGCGATGGGGGACGAGGAGCGTGCTTTCGCGCGGGCCGACGGGCACACAGACAAGCCTGCCGCAGGTGCTGGAGTGGAAGATGAGGTTTCATTCGGGCCGAGACCGTCGGAAGCGCAGCGCGGCGGAGTGCCAGGTGGGCCCCCCCTCCGTGGCAAGCTGGGGGCGGCTTGTCTGGAGCAGCCGCGCTCGGCGGACGAGGAGCCGCGTAGCTTTGAGTACATGGAGTTTGGCCACTTTATTGAATCGCTTCGCTCATTCCGCCGGCCCGTGATATGGCATCGCTGGTTTTTGTCTGTGTGTTCGTTGCCCATGTTGCGCTCTTGGGGGCGGGTGTCGTTCGGACGCGTTGTGTGGGGATTTTTGATGGTGAAGCAGTTCCCTGGGGGTCGTCTCTCGATGGGGCGAAATAGAGTCGTCGTCAAGATGCTTCTTTGGGGGGCCTCTTGGGGTCTGTTGAGAGGCCGTTCGGGGGCGCCTGGGAGACATGTTTGAAGCCTTCTGGGGCTTCTTTTGGGCCTCCTGGGAGTCTCCTGGGGCCTCTTGGCGACATCTTGGGGCCTCTTGGAGGCCTCTTGGGGCCTCTTTGGGACCTCCTGGGCGCCTTCTGGGACGGAGGGCTCCATTTTTGAGTTCTCGGTATCCCTCCTGAGTCCCTCTTGGGCCCGTCTTGGGGCCTCTTGGTCCGTCTTGGGCGGCACTTGGGCCGTCTTGAGGGCTCTCTTGGGTCGTTTCGGCGCCGTCTTGGGAGCTTCGTGGGCCGTCTTGGAGCGGTCTTGGGGGCCTCTTGGGCCGTCTTGGAGCGTCCGGAAGCCGAAAAAGCCAGAACACAAAAAACATCGAAAAAACCAATGAAAATCAACGATTTTGGCCTCTTGGGGCTCTCTTCGGAGGCCTCTTGGAAGGCTCTTGGGGCGTCTTGGAGGCCTCTTGGGCTGTCTTGGGGGCCTTTTGGGCCGTCTTGGGGTCATCTTCGGCGTCTTCGAGCGCTCTTTGGGCGTCTCGGGGGCCTCTTGGGCAGTCTTGGGGGCCTCTTGGGGCACTCTGAGCGCGCTCTGGGGAGCCTGAGAGGCCGCACCCAGAAGGAAAACCATCTCTGAGTAGACTTGGTCGGGCGGCGGTCGGGCGGCGGTCGGGCGGCGACCGGGCGTTGGTCGGGGTACTTTTCGCCGGGGGACCCCCAGGGGCCGCCCCGCGCGCGCGAACTAGAAATACTGTTAATACTGTTAACCAGTTACCGGAGATCTTAGCACGCCCTGGCCCGTTGGGCCGGCGAATTGGTCCCAGGTGCGCCCAGGATGCGTGGGGGGCGCTAGAGAAAATTAGCCGGGCGAAGGACCCAACCATATGCAGTTGTGGGTATCGCATTCGGGGGAGCCCCGTATGGGGCCACGAAACGTTGTAGTGGGTCGTGGGGGCGCATGCGAACTGCGCCACTTGGACCATCGGTGGAGTTCTCTATTATGGGGCCACGAAGCGCTGTACTGGGTGGGGGGGACGCATGCGAACTGCGCCACCGGGACCTTCGGTGGAGCTCCCTATGGGGCCACGAAACGCTGTACTGGGTGGGGGGGGACACATGCGAACTGCGCCACTGGGACCTTCGGGGGAGCTACCTATGGGGCCACGAAACGCTGCCCTGGGCGGGTGGGGGCGCATGCGAACTGCGCCACTGGGGCCTTCGGTGGAGCTCCCTATGGGGCCACAAAACGCTGTACTGGGTGAGGGAACCGCATGCGGACTGTGCCACTGGGACCTTCGGTGGAGCTCCCTGTGGGGCTACGACACGCTGCCCTGGGTGGGGGAACCGCATGCGGGCTGTGCCACTGGGGCCTGCGGTTGAGCTCCCTATGGGGCCACGAAACGCTGCCCTGGGTGGGGGAACCGCATGCGGGCTGTGCCACCGGAACCTTCGGTGGAGCTCCCTATGAGGCCACGAAACGCTGCCCTGGGTGGGGGAACCGCATGCGGGCTGTGCCACTGGGACCTTCGGTGGAGCTCCCTATGGGGCTACGAACGCTGCCTGGGTGGGGGAACCGCATGCGGGCTGTGCCACTGGGACCTTCGGTGGAGCTCCTATGGGGCACGAAGCGCTGCCCTGAGCATGCGGGCCCACTATGGGGCCACGAAGCGCTGCCCTGGGTGGGGGAACCGCGCTGCCCTGGGTGGGGGAACCGCATGCGGGCTGTGCCACTGGGACCTTCGGTGGGGCTCCCTATGAGGCCACGAAACGCTGCCCTGGGTGGGGGAACCGCATGCGGGCTGTGCCGCTGCGACCTTCGGTGGAGCTCCCTATGGGGCCACGAAACGCTGCCCTGGGTGGGGGAACCGCATGCGGGCTGTGCCACTGGGGCCTGCGGTTGAGCTCCCTATGGGGCCACGAAACGCTGCCCTGGGTGGGGGAACCGCATGCGGGCTGTGCCACTGGGACCTTCGGTGGAGCTCCCTATGAGGCCACGAAACGTGTGAGGGGTGTGCCGAGAGCTGAGGCAATGAGGGGGAGGAGGGAGGAGGGGGAGGGAGAAGCGGGAGGAGGAAGGAACTCGGGGCGCTGTCTCTTCAAAACGAGGACCCAACAACACAGGATGGTTGGGAACAAAATAACGCCCAGGGAGGGGACTTGAGCTCCCCAGGGCCAGTATGCCCCACCCATGTCATCTCTGACGGCCTCCGGAGCCCAGAAAGGGGCCTCTGGAGGCCGAGGCTGAGCAGAAGCGTCCCTCTGAATTCTGAAGACGTCTGAGGTCTGCAGGGAAGATCGAGCCCCTTACGAGACCACCGTGTTCTTTACTCCAATCCTTCTAGATATCTTCTCTTGGCGACGACTCAAGACCATAACATGTAAAGTGTGCGACTTCGCTGCGGACTGGAACTACCAGCCCAACTCCATGTCCAATGGATCTCTACCAACTGCTATGGGATCTGACTCTGAAATCTTCGGTTGGGTTGGAAAAGGAGTGGCCTTGTGGCCTGTGAGCGCCCAGCAAAAAATACAGAAGCAATATGGCTTCAGAAATGGTAATAATGGCGAGCCCATCTACCTACCCCGATCACCTGCCAAATGAATTCAGAACACAATGCACCACTGGAATTCCTAAGACTGCTTTGGTATCGATCCCACGCTTCCCAGAGCTTCTGCATCAGCGGCGCGTTGGGCACCCTCAACAGGAGAGGTGGTATCCTCGATGATCGGTGTGGTCAGGTACTGATTTGCCAATACACCATACAAGACATCATGATGATCCCCACTTTCGTACCCCAAGACGGCGTTCGATACCCTTGCGCACATGCTGTCGTGATCCCCGTTGTGCTGTCGAACACGTGAGCGTAATTCTGTCATACATGCTCCCCGAAGCCGCCACTGTAAATCCTGCTCAGATCCGAGAAGATATGGCCTGCGCAACTGTGAATCACGAGAAGCCCAACTTTCCCTGGCGCTTTGTGCGTTTTCACGGTGAAGTGAAATCTGTTAGTGCTGTGTTTGGAGTCCGTGTAGAATTGTTGGACAAGCTTTGTGGGCCATTTGCGAGTCGTCGAAAGCTCATTCGTTCTGCTGCAATACGATTGAAATATTCTCCTGATGTGCTCGTTGTTGACCTAAGCCATTTCGCTGTACCAGGTCTTCCAATACAAACTAGGGGACAATACAATATCCACCATGTTTGCCGGTATGTAAAACAACATATGGCGAGTGTTTAATCCACTCCATTCCAGCCTATACGCAGCCTGGTACATTTGGTGCGTCTCGGTGTAACCTCGGATGCCCAACACAGTTCTCATACACAGGTTCGACACTGGCCATCGTTCGCCTTCAAATGTCCGTTAACGGATAATATCTGGTGCGGCTTTTGCCCATAGATTTTCGCCACCAGGGTAATTTTTTGGAAGCGTATCCGAAGTGCCGCCTCCTTCTTGATTGCGTTGACAAGGTCGCGGAGCGGCGTGTCAACGTCACAGACTGCTTGGGCTCATTTTTTCAAGAGCGTGTTTCTCTACAGGAGATTGTTTTTTTATCCTCTGGGGGGTAACGCTCGTTACCCGGGCCTCTCCCCCCCCCCCCCCCCGTAACGGTAACGCTCGTACGCGGGGGGGGTCTCGGTCTTCCCCTCCAACATGCTGGTGCCCGAAGGCATGCGCACTGTGGTGTGGTGGTCGCAGGCGCACTGTGGGCGCTCGCAGGCCATTGCGGCGCTCGCATGCGCGATGCTGGTGCTTGCGGGCTTTGCGCTTGTACTCGAATCGTCGTCGTCGTCGTCGTCGTCGTCGTCGTCGTCGTCGTCGTCGTCGTCGTCGACGGCGCCCGAAAACGGCCTCCGGAGGCCGAAACAGGCGGCAAACGTCGTCGTCGTCGTCGTCGACCTCGTCGCTCGTCGCTCGTCGATCATCGTCGTCGCGCGCGCGGGCGCGGGCGTGGTGCCGGGACCACGCGGCGGGCTTTGCGCTTGTACTCGAATCGCAAGCCACTGTGGTGCTCTCAGGCAGAGAGTGCTGCTCGCGCGCATACTATGGCGATCGCAGAGCGCCCCTGCTTCGCCATACCCCGCCCAGCCCAAGCGTTACCGTTACCCGGGGGGCACGACCCCCCCCCCCCCCCGGGTAACGAGCGTTACCGGCCGGAATAAAAAAATGATCTCCAGCTTGGGCCATAGCGCGCGTTCTGCCCCTTCCGCCCCCCCCCTATAACGTAACGCTCCAGCCCCCAGTGCGCCTGCGGCACTGCCGCCGGGCGCAAAGGGATCCGCGTAGAAACCCGAATTGGGATCTGCAAAGGCATCCGCACAGATATCCGCATATGGATCCGCAGGGCTGTGCATAGGAGAGATCCCCAGAGGGGTCCGCGTAGAGATCCGCATAGAGATCCACATAGGGGCGGTGCTCGCGGGAAAGTTGCGGTGCTCTCAGGCACTTGTGGTGTTCGTAGGAGAGAGGGCCACAGGAGGAGAAGGACGACGACAGCAACACCGACGACGACGAGGATGTAGGAGGGAGGTAAGGAGCACACCTCTTATACGCCGCGTGGCGCACGCATGTGATCGCCACAATTCCTCTTCCCTCTTCGTTGTCGGGCGTCGTCGTCGTCGTCGTCCGTCGTCGTCGTCATCGTCGTCGTCGCTCTTCGTTGTCGGTGGTCGTCGTCGTCGTCGTCGCTCGTCGTCGTCGTCGTCGTCATCATCGTCGTCGCTCTTCGTTGTCGTTGTCTGAGTTGTCGTCGTCGTCGTCGTCATCTTCGTCGTCGTCGCAGTCGTTGTCGTCGGTCGTCATCGCTCGCTGTCGGTCGTCGTTGTCAGACGCCTTCAAATTCTTTCGAGGGCCTCTGAAGGCCTTCGGACGACTTCCGGAAGGCCTTTGGAAGTTTCCAGAGGCTTCAGGAGGCTTCCGGAGGCCTCGGGAAACCTCCGGAGACTTCTGGAGGTGTCGCTCGTCGTCGTCGTCGTCTTCGTCGCCGTCACTCGTCGTCGTCGTCGTCGTCGTCGTCGTCGTGGTCGCTGCTCGTCGTCGTCTTCGTCGTGGTCGTCGTCGCTCGTCGTCGTCGTCGTCGTCGTGGTCGTTGTCGTCGTCGTGGTCTCGTCGTCGTCGTTGTCGTCGTGGTCGCTCGTCGTCGTCGTCGTCGTCGTCGTCGTCGTCGCCTGTCGTTGTCGTGCACGCGGACGCTGCGGTGGCGTCGGAACCGCACGGGGGAGGGCGTTACGTTACACCCCCCTGGCCCCCCCCATACCGCCCGTTATCGCCGCAAATAAAGAAACGCGCTCCAAAGACATGTTTGTTTTCTTGCGCATCCAGTTGAGAGAAGGACAATCGTAAGTTGCAAATCTGGCTCAAGAAAATGGCTCAAGGGCTCAAGGGCTCAAGTCTCTATCCGCACCTTCACACCCTCCTATCTACACCTCCTTCTCTTCCGCACCTCTGCCTTCGATGGATGGGCGATGCTCCATGTGCTTGGCCGGAGGCGTGCACGCCCCAGTACTTCCTGAGGTCGCCCTCTGTGCCGCGCACGCTGCGGCCGCCGCCGCCGCCCCACCCAGGTTGTCTCTTGCGGAGGCGGCTGCTCCCTTGACGTCGGGGTCCGTCGACGACACGGGCCTGACACAGGACACGGGGAGCCTCGCAATCGGCAGCTCCGGCACCACGAGCATCGGTTTCGCCGTCGTGCCTTCCGGAGATGCGGTACTGAGCAGCATGGACATCGACGCGTTGCCGGAGAGCGCCCCAGGCATCGCAGCGCCAGGTGCTGCTGCCGCCCCATTAGGTGCACTGCCCGGCCTGCCCGGCCCGCCGTTACCCCTCGACCTGCTCCGCGAGTTGATGGAGACGGAGGCCCTCCACGTCTTCCCCTTCGTCCAGGCGGTGGACCAGCGCACCCGCGCCGAAGAGCTGCCCGTGACCCTCCCGACGACCTGGGAGGTCGCCAAGAAGTTCCTGCACAAGTTGGCCTACAATGTGGACGCTCAGGACCCCTGGCGCAGGCTGGGGCTGGCGCAGCTGGAGGGCCCCGCCCCCTCCGCGTTGCTGATCGCGCGACGCGAGGCCGCCGCCCGCAAGATGTGCGCGCTCATGCTGCCAGGGCAGCGGTCGGACTCTGATCGCACCAGCCTCCAGGACTGCCTGACCAAGGTCAGCCATGCGGCCCGGCATTGCGAGGCCGACCTCGCCTGGTCTCTCGCTCAGCGCAAGCGTGAGAAGATTCTGGAGCTTCCCCTGCACAAGGAGCTCGGCGAAGCCGCGTTGCAGTTGGTGGGCCACCTTGCGGAGGACGGGACCTCCCTGTTGATGCTCACGCAGTGGTCAAACATCTTGCACCAGGAGGGCTGCACCGAGGAGGTGGTCATGAGGTCGCGCGGCATCGCGGCTCTGGCTCAGAAGAGGGATGCAAAGGTCTGGAACTGGTGCTGGGACTTGCACGTGGTGCTCTGGGCGCCCGAGGATGCGAGTGCGCTGGCGCGGTGCATGACCGCATTTCTGCGACTCCCGGCAGGCTCGCGCCCGAAATCCTGCCGCATGGTTGCCCCCCTGGGCATCCCGCCAGGCATGAGGGACATCACCACAGTCACCGACCTCTGGTGGCATCCCCTGCTGGCACCCGAATGGGCATCAGTAGTCCGCCACTGCAGGGTCACCCCGGTGCCGATGGAGATGGTGCGCCCCGGCCCTGCGGGACCCGACCTCCAGCACGAGGGGGTGGTGATCTTCTACCTCGCTCACGATGGGCCCAGGCAGCCCCCCCGCATCCATCTTCCAGCGGCGCCGCTACTCAGCCTCCCAGGGCTATCTTCGGCGACTCTGGACACCCAGACGGAAGACCTGCCGATGCTTTTGGAGCGTCTGGGCCAGCTGGGGGTGCCTGACCTGACGGCGCGGCAGCACCGGAGGAGCCCTCTGAGCACGTCAGCTGTCCCCAGGGTCTGCTTCGAGGTGCTCTTTCCCGCCTCCCTCACGACCCCAGCGGTGGAGCTCCTGCTGCAACGCCTCCGGGTGGCGGGTCACCTCCCTCGGGATACATGGTGGGCGCTTCATTCCATCTACGACGCCGCGGACGCGTGCGTGCTTGAGATCGCCACCTCGGGTAGCCTCCACGAATTCTGGGCTCTCAGCTCCCAGATGGTAGCCGTCACGCTCCACGAGCTGTTGGTGATCCCGAACGCGGAGGCTGACCAGTGGTCGCGGCTCCTGACGGAGATCATGAAGGAGGACCCGGGGGCCACCCATTTCCGCCTCAAGTGGAAGGCTTCCCGCAACGGTGGCCGTGCAATCGCGGCCCCCGCGGCTACGATGGAGAGGCCCTAGCTGCCGGGCGCCGGCTTGGACTCCGCCAGGCATCTGACCGCGATTGCATAACGGATTTGATTGCCACAGGGGAGCTCGGCAAAGAGGACGGGGAGGTCCTGAAGTTCATCATGCAGCACGTCTGCGCCCAGACTGGCATCCAGTATGTGGAGACGGACTACTCCCGCGAGGCTCGCATCGGGGAGTACGTCCAACTGGCCAGGAAGGACGTGGCGGCCCCTCCTGGCCGTCTGCAGCTTCGTCTTCCAGATCTGGATAGCGCGCGAAAGGCGAGGGCGGCCTTGCACGGACAGTCGGTGCAGGTGGGGTCAGACATGGTGGGCTTCCGGGTCATGAACGACAGGCTGGACGCGGAGGGCATTCTTGGGGGAGCATTTCGGGATCACCTGTGACTCGCCGCGGAGGCTAGGAGAGCCGTGCACGACGGAATCCAGTTTTGGACCGAGGAGGGCGCCTCCGGGTGGTTGCTCGATATCCTTCTTGTTCTCCACTCAGCAACAGCTGAACCGGGTTGCTCGAGCCATGTTCGCACTCATCCGTATGCCCGTGCTGGGTCTTCTAGTTCTCCCTCCTGGCTCTTCCCCCCCTCTCCGCACAATTCGCACGCGCGTGCGGCAGCTTATTCTTTGCCTGGCGGCACTTTTTTGCAGTCGATTGTTTATTATTTCCCAAATTCGTGTTTCAATTCGTTGATAACCCCGGCGTCTCACCGTGTCGGTACTGATAGCTCGAGCGTTGCCTGTGTTGCCTCTGCTAGCCCCGTTTTTGTTTGGTGAATTCGAATTGTCTCCTAGCTCTTTTCAGACTGCCGGAGGTCAATCCAGCCTTGGCGACGCCCCCGTTGATTTTTATCGACGCCAGCGGCTCCGTCGGGCTCTGGGTCTGTTAGCACCCGCCCGTATCCTGCCCCCAGCGCGCTCCATTCCTGCCCCAATGCCTGCCCCGCAGCTGCGGCGACCAGGTCAATGCCGAGGGGATTTCGCAATATTTGCATGGAGCGCCCAGGCCCTGTTCGCGTGCAGTGACAAGCGGAGGGAGGTCAAGATGGCCCACCTCTCCTCCCTGCTGGCTCGCTGCGACGCGGTGCTGGTTTCGGAGGCACACGGCACCTCGGGGCAGCATGCGGCGTGGGGGGCACCGGCGGGAACAGCGGCATGGTGGTCAGCCGGAGCTAGTGCAGCTCATGCTGGGGACGGGATCGTAGTCAAGCACAGTTTTCTTAGCAATTTCACGGAGATTACTTGGAAGGTCATATGGCCTGGAGAGCTGCCAGGCTTGAGCTGCTGGGTCCTTCAGGCGGAATGGATCTGACGGTTTGCTATTTCCACTCCCGTTCGGAGGTGCAGGAGCTGGGCCGCTATGGACTTTCGCCCGAGCAGTCAAGGCGATGCACTACGTTCCCTGACATCAGGGAGGTTATTCTCTCAAGGCCGGACACTGTCATCCGCAGCGACACCGCCGCCCTGACGATCCTAGGTGGAGACTTCAACTGGTTTGCGACGGACCCCGACCGGCGCTCGTGCTCATCAGCAAGACCGAGTGGCCGTCGAGACCACCACGAGGAGTACCATTTTCAGGAGGTCGTCGGTAAGCGGCATTCCCTCGAGGAGATGCACCAGCCGGAAATGACATATGCCTCGTCAGGTCGCGATTAGATCGCATCTATTGCAACCATCATGGATCGGAGCAGCTGGACAGGGAAGTGAAACTGGTAGCGCTGGAGTGGCAGCCGAACGTCTCGGACCACAGGGCCGTTTTTTTTTGTTCGCGCAAAAAGCCGCATCACATTCCGCTTCAAGAACGTTCACGAGCAGATTCACCACCCAGACTTTGCCAGAAGGGTCCGTCTGGAGTTCCACCACCGCAGGGCCGAATTGGAGGAGGAGTCTGCCATCTCCTTCCTTCGCTTGCTCAAGGCGGTCATGCGGGAAGTGGGGGCCGGGATAATTCAGGCCCCCCCGCAGGCGACTATTGCTGCGAACGCAGCGGACCGCCTCGGCATCGCGATGCGCTTCCTCAGAGCAGCGGAGGCGGGGGCCACTGGCCGGATTTCCGCTCGTTTGGAAACGCGCCCCCGACTGGCAACGTTGATGCCCAAGCCCCACGACTTGCAAGCGTACGCCGCGCAAGGGCTACGATCTATACGGGACCATGCGCTCGAACTTGCTCGAGAGCGCGCCGTCGACGAGCTTTCAACCAACCGCCCCGACCTGCAGGGCGTGTCCGGCGAGGTTCTCCGGCGCCGCCACAAGAAGGCACAACAATTACTGCATCGACTACTTCCGGGCCAAGCTTTATCCCTGGAGGCCGTGCGCTCTAACAAAGGAGAGCACCTGGCCGGGCCTGAGGCGATGGCGCAGGCGCTGGGGGGGGCACTGGGGTAAGGTGTTCGCTGCCAAGGGTGTCAGCGAGGAACTGCTCAGGGAGCGGCTGCAAGATGACGGGCAGCACCAGGAGGGGCACGGACCTTCTCACCAGACATTGCAGCAACTGCAACTACAGATGCGGCGCATTCGACGCGCCCACCAGCAATCCAACAACTCCGCGCCGGGCCCTGACGGAATACCATGCGCCGCTGGAAGCGGCTTGGAGAGCTTTCCATCGACATGCTGCACGACGGGTTCCGGGAGATCTGCTCTGCTCCATGGGCGACGCGACTGTGCTACAGGAGCTTTGGCCGGACTTCAACGCCAGCTTTCTCACCCCCCTCCCCGAGCAGGCCTGCGGGGGGACTGTGGAGGGGGGGGCCGTGTATGAGGTTGACGGCGTTAGGCCACTCAACATCACCAACGCCGACAACCTATTGATGGCCAGCGCTTGTCGCTGGATGTTGGAACCTTTGCTGGGCCCTCTCACCGCGGAGGAACAGAGAGGTTTCATCCAGGGAAGGTCGATGCTGAGCAACATCGTGGACATCGAGGAAGGTGTGATTACCTGTGCAGCAAAGGGTGAAGGGGGCCTTGCTGTCTGCTTTGACTACGCCGCGGCTTCCCCCATCCATCGAGCGCCAGATTTTCATTGCTTATTCCAGGCAATTGGGTTGGCCGCGCTGGCTGCCCACCTTCATCGAGGCCCTCTACGCGAACACCTTCTGCGAGATCTCCTTGGGAGGAGCACGTTTCAGGGGGTTCGGGATAACCCGAGGTATTCGCCAAGGCTGCTCTCTTTCTCCGCTCCTGTACGCTGTGTGCTCCGACCTCTTCCCCGGGCGCCTGCGCCGCGAATTGGCGCAAACTCTAAACGCGGCGTTCGCTGGTGACTTGGCCGTGGTATTAGCGCATGCTGGCCCCCAGCTGCGGAGGCTAAAGCAACTCTTCGACGAGTTCACTCTCATCTCGGGGTTGCGCCTCAGCACGAAGAAGTCCGTTGCTGTCCCGCTCGACCCGGAGGCGCTGGAGACCACCCGGGAGCTCTTGCGGAAGCGCGCTCCGAGCTGGGAGGGGATGGCGATCGCTTGCGCCGCCAAGTAGTTGGGCGTTTTCTTAGGCCCTGGGAAGGGGCGCCTAGCATGGGGCAAACCCTTGGCCAAGTTCACGGACAGATCTGTTCAATGGGGTCGATTGGGCGCAAGTTTTCTTTTCACATTGAAGGTTTTCAGGGTGTACGTGGTCTCTGTATTGTTATTCGTGGGGCAGTTGGAGCAGCCGCCCGAGGGCGTGAATCTCGTGATCGCGCAGGCGGCGAGGCGCCTTGTTCCTGGGCCATATGATTGGGTCACCACGGAGGCCCTGCAGGAGCTGGAACACTTCGGATTCCCTGCAAGCCTCGCGGACGTGTCGGCGACCATGCTGGCGGCCAGGGCGCGTGTGGTCCAATTCGAGGCCGGCGGGAAGTTGGATATCCCACGCAGGGCACGAGATATGGCGTCTTTGGCATGTCCACTTGGGGCATCTCTCGCTCGGGCGGCTTGGCTGGGCATCTGGAAGCAGGCTGCCTGCGCCCCTGCGCTGCAAGAGGCCAGCGTCAAAATCCAGGGGATGCGCCGCAACGACAATGATCCTAACAAGTGGGCCGCGCAACTAGGCTGGCAGAAGTATGCTGCGCGACAACTCCGAGCCGCACTGCAGCCAGACCAGGGGGGCTCTTTTCAAGAGGTTCTTGGGTAAGAAATTGGAACACTGGCCCATTGCTCTCTTTCCGCGGCTTTGCCTGGCGCCCGCGGCGGCGTTCTTGCAGCGCGCTGGGGAACTTTACCCGCCGCGCGTTTGGGCGGCAGTTCTGAGGCTTTGGTGTAATGGGTGGTGCACGGGCAGTCGATTTGGCTACGAGCGTCAGTGCCGCTTTGGCCGTGGTAGGGGCCAGGACTCGATCCGCCATTTCGCATCCTGCAGCGTGGTTCGAGGGCTTTTGGGGGAACCCCCTCGGGAACGGCAACAAGCACTTGAGCGCTTCCTCCGGATCGGGGGGCCCAGGATGACAGACAAGGAGCTGGTGTTTGGGGCTGTTTCTATTTATGGACTGTACCGTACGCACAATATGGCGAGGCACCGGGACATCCCCGATCGAGACTGTCACGGCGCCTTCAGAGAGTTTTGTCACGAAGGCAGACGGGGGCATGGCGAAAGCGGCACGACAGCGTGAACTCTGAGGTACCGTTCCTATTACTTTTGTATTGTAGTTTTGCCTCCTCTTGTTGACTTTGCAATAGTCCGCCATGCATGTTCCTGCTGCCTGCATGTCCTCGGCGGTCCTTCCCCCGTCGGGGTACCCACTTGTTCTCTGTCTCCTTCCCGCCCGCTCCCTCGCCTCTGTCTGATCACAGCGGTGAGCCGTGAGTCACAGGGCGCCCATTCGGGCACATGCGATTGGCTGGGACGGGGCCCAGTATGCGTCGCATGACCAAGGTTCGGTTTTTGCCGGCCTATTATTTCTTCTCCCTTCCCTTGCCTTCGTCCTCTCGTCGCCTCTCCCTCCTCCTCTTCCTCCCCCCCGGCTATCCCATAATACTGTGTCGGATGTATTGCAGTGCCCGTTTGGGCCATGCGGTGGGGGCTGTGACACAATGTGTGCAACTGTAGCCTTGAGGGCAATTCGTAGCAGTCGCGTCTCCTAAGCACTGGCGAAAAGCCGGTCTTAACTAATTGTTCTGTGCGTGTTTCTGGGGAGTTAACCTACTCACGCGCCCACGCCCTAGGAAAAACCAAAAAATCGTAAGTTGTAAATCTGCAGCGTGTGGGTTTCGCACAGACTTGCAACCTGGAGTTCAAATCTACACGTGTCGGACCATATTCTGGTAATGCAGCAATTTTCGTAACACAGTCGAATCGGCACCCTCGAGGAGGTCCCAAAACATGTGGTCAACCAGCCACTTGTTTTTGCTTAGTTGATTCGCCCTTGCCTCCAAACTTTGTTTCTTTTGCACGCTGCGCTGTACCTTTTCCGTTGCCTTTCGGTTTGTCCATTTGCCATGTGTCTTTCGGTCGGGTTTTCTGCCATGTTTTCGTTGTCTGTGCCACCGTCTTCGCGTATTTGCCCCTGGGGCTCTGCATTGCCCCCATTTCGGACCTCCCCCTGCGCCCACCCGCTGCCGGTCCCCCTTGCAGGGGGACATGCCATTGTTTGATGAAGTTGTAGTTTTTCTATCAGCCAGTTCTTTCTTTGAGAATCGTCTTACTTTCATTCTGGGGTGCGCGTGCGGAGCATCTCGCACGCACGATCTGGCTAAATCTCTCGCGTCCTGGAAATATGAGTTTTCAGTTTGGAACTTCACGACAACGAACTCACGGTTACATTCGTGTTTGCCGTTGCCATTTCTTTTTTTTTGTTCCGTTCCATTTGCTCTTAATTCCATGGCTTTGGGCTCATCGATTTTCTGTTTTACTGCCTTTCTGAGCCTGGCTTCTGAATTCATCTTGGAAGCACGCTCCAAGCTTTGATCCTTTCTCTCTAGCTCCTTTGTCTTAGAAGCCTGGACATTATGCCTTTTCAAGTCGATGTTCATCCATATTTTCTGGTAGATCTCGTTGGCCAGAGCCTTATTGCTGTAAGGGGAAGGAGACCAAGCAGGGGGCACGTCCAAGTCAAGAGATTCGTCCGCACTGTTCATCTCGCTCAGGGGGGCCATTACGGACGCAATGGATTTTTCATGTCGGGTACCGTTTTGCAAGTTTGCCGCAATCTTTCCAGTGCAAGCGAGATCCATTGACACTGCGTGCTCAACCTATCCCATATACAGTTGTTCCTAGACTGATCTCCAATAATGGTTTGTTTTGATCGATGTTGTCATGCTCAGCTCCCTGTTCGTGAATTCCTTGTCAATGCCAGAGTTCGTCCAGATTCGAATCGAGGTAGGCCTGCTGGCCGCTTCTTGACCCTAACCTTTTGTACCTGCTCCTGCAAGTTTGACATGCGTTCGTTTATACGTAAGTCGGCATCCACTTCCACTGAACATGCCACCATGATACATTGCACCTGTGATTTGAATTTGACATTCAAGATGGTCTCTCTGAACCGGCTGCGGGGTATTAAAACCATCTAGCATAGTTTGGAATCTTCGATTCTCGTGAGCCATCGCTGACAGTACTAGTCAAACCTTTCTGTCAACACTCCGATTCTTCCAGATACCTAGTCCTGGCGACGACACAAGCTTATAATATATGATGTGTGCGACTACGCTGCGGGCTGGAACTACCAGCCCAATTCCAATCCCAATGGATCTCTATCAAATATTATGGGATTTGAGTCTAAAGTCTTCGTATGGGTTGGAAATTGAGTGGCCTTGGGGCCTGTGAGCGCCCAGCGAAAGTAAAGAAGCGACATTGCTGCAGAAATGGTGGTAATGGTGGTAATGGCGGTGATGGTGGTCATAATGGTGGTAATACTGGTGGCAATGGTGGTAACGGTGGTAATGATGGTAATAATAGTGGTCATGGTGGTAATGGTGGTAATAGTGGTCCTGGCAGGTAGTGGTGGTACTCCCCACGGGTCGTTTCTGACGGCCTGGGTGCCCAGAAAGGGGCCTCTGGAGGCCGAAGATGAAGTTTCCGTCTTGTTTCTCAAAAGACGTCGGAGGTCTGCAAGGAAGCTCGAGCACCTTGCGAAACCGTAGTGTTCTTTATTCTGGGGCTGGGCCTCATGCAGTTGGGGCCCTGGAAAAAGAAGGACGAGACGTTTTGGCAAGACGCCTTTGCGCTTTTGTTTTTGCCTCTGTCAGACAATTTCGTTGGCCAGGTGTCGAAACTTGGACGCCCACGGGCCTTGTAGCTTTACCTTCGCATCCTTAGGTTGGTCTCGACTGCAGTGGTTGGACATCTCGCTTGCTGCCCAGGGAAAGGCAAGACCCCCAGTTGTTCAGATTTGTACCCATTAGCCGTACATCTCTTCACGCGCGCATTTGAGCCTCTGCTGGCTCATGCTCGCCGCTTCCTGATCATGCTCCGATGACGCTTTCTCTTGCTAAGCGAGCTCTGTGACGCTGCGAAGCTGTGCTCATCAGAGCCGTCTCCGCGTGCCGTGCCGTGCCCATGCCGTGCTGTGCCCGCGCCGTGCCTGGTCTTCAGACTGCAACGGTCTCGCCCTCTGGCCTTGCTGCGCCGTGCCCGCGTGCGCCGTGCCGTGCCCGCGTGCCGTGGCGTGCCCGCGCCATGCCTATTCTTCAGTGCAGTTTTTTCTTCAGTGCAGTTCTGTTTCCCCGATGGGGAATGTGGCAGGGGTTCCACTTGTATCACAAGAGCTGGGTTCTAGGTTCAAGTCTGTGAAAGGTTTGCGGTCCGCGTATTGCGGCGTGCCCGTGCCGTGCTGTCCAAGTTCTACACAGGAAGGACGGGAAGGGCCCGCGCCGTGACGTGCCGTGCCGCACGCGTTCGCGTGCCGTGCTGTGCTCAAGTTCCAGAATGCGAACGTGTGCCGCCACCGTGGCGTGGCGTACCCGTGCTGTGCGCTTAGCCGTACCGTGCCCATGTTTCAGGAGGCGACATGTGCTACCCGCATGGCGTTCCGGTGCCGTGCCCGCGTGCCGTCTTGCGCCCGGTCCGTGCTTACGGTTGGCGCTGAAAAGACAGCGTGCGACGTGGTGCCGCCGGCGCCCGCTTATTTCACGGTATCCTCCACCTTGGGGATGCAGTCGCACCGATTGTGAAAGTCCATTCGCAGATTCTCTCCCATCCACGGGCCCGTGATAAAGACATCCAGTGGGGGGGGGGCACGAGACGGGATCTTAGTAGACTAGAGGGGCCATGAGGAGGACTCCCAATTTGAGGGCCCATACAAAACCCATTTCTGGAGCCAGGGCGACATTATCTCAGGTTGCCGAATCCGTGCTACGCACATACAGTCGGTCCGAGGTATAAGATCGAGGTCGGTTCGGGGAGGGTACCCTGACGTTGTTCTTGTTTGCTGGATTTTTTGTGCATGCTGGGGAGGGTACCACTGGATGTTCTGTGTGTTTTGGCTGGCGGAGGGTGCCATGGTATTGAGGGGTGTTTTTCTGGCGTAGGTCCGACGGTAGCGTGCACCGACGAAGCCCTAGCCAGGAGGCAGCCTGCGCAGACGCGGCCCTCGTGCCCCTCACAGGGATAGCGTGCTTTTGGAGGTCGATATTGGACGCTGTCTTTGCAACGCTAACCGTAGTTGACAGATGGCGCGAACGTGCCTATCGCGTACCGTGCCGTGCCCTTGCCGCGCGTGGCCGCCAGGCAGGGTGGCGCAGTGGACAGCGCGGGATAACCGTCTCTCTCTCTCTCGTCGACCCCCTCTCCCCATCCCCACCAAATTTCCCCCTTCGCTCGGTCGACTTGTTCCTCCTTTCGCTCCCCTCTTGCCCACACTTCTCTGGAGCGGGCAGGCTGTGGAGAATGCCAACTGTCTGATCCTCACGTAGCCAGCGAGGCAGGAGCTGTGGGGCGCAAGCAAAGAGAGGCAGGGTCCGTTGTTCGATCCGATTCGATCTCGGTATCGGCCAGCCCGATGCGATTAGAGTCCGATATTCCGACAGCCCGTTGCGGCACGATGTTTGCACGTCGTTGTTGCGGATCATGGTGTAGCCGATCCGATTCGATCCCGACAGCGGGCCGAAGCGGTCCGATCCGACGCACGTTCCGATCTTTGGCCAATTCTACGATTCGATTTTGATTGATTGGCGCTATATTTCGAGTCGAGGGGGGTGCGTGGCACGCGGTAGTCATTTTGATTGCGCGATGGCGATGCGTTGACACTCTGCCGCGCTGTACCCACAGTTTTACCAGCTTCACGCTCTCCCCTGGTTGAGTTCCACACTGTACTGGCAGCTTCTCGCGTTTCGCGAATCTGTACTTCCGCACCGTACTGGCAATCTTGTTTGCACGTCGCGTTTGTTGCGGGTAGGTCGTCAGACAATTGAATTGCATATTATTTTCGAGCCGTGATAGTTCAATTGGATTGACGCGTATATTCGCTTGGCTTTGCCGCTTTTGGAAGCAATGTAGTACGCTGTTCCACTGCATGGCTCTGACATTGCATGGTCTTACATGTTGGGGGCTTCTTGGGAGGCTCTTGGGGTATCTTGGGGGTTCTTGGGGCATTGGCTCGGCAGTGAGCGCGGGTCTCGGGATCGTCTTGCGGGGTCCCAGTGATAGGTGCGACGCTTTCACGCAAACCGTGCAATGCGTTTTGCCGGGACGAACGATAACGAGAGAACGATATTCTGCGGGCGGAAATGACGGAAGTTAATTGATTGCACCACTTGGGGTCAGTTGGGTCAGTTGCGTCATAAGAGCGGCGGCCTGCGATAATCGATTGCACCACTTGGGTCAGTTGGGTGAGTTGCCCAAGTGACCCAAGTGGTGCAATCGCACTGGGCCAAGTAAGTCAATTGGCCCAAGTGGAGCAACTGACCCAACTGACCCAAGTGGTGCAATCGCACTGGGTCGGTCAACTAACCCAATTGGCCCAAGTGGTGCAGCTGACCCAACTGACCCAAGCGGTACAAGCGCGCCCGGTCTGGCCCCACCTGGGCTGCAGTATCAGCCCGCTGGCCTGCGTTCGCAGTCCGCGTATTAGCCAGCGGTATTAGCCAGGCCCGTTGTATGAGCCGAGCCTGTGGTACGAGCCTGCGTGCCTCGTTCCGCCGAACAGTCCAGTAACTGGCGGCTTTAGTCTGTGGTATTCGTCTACGAGCTTGCCTCTGGATAATTAGCCTGTGGTAATCGCCTGTGGTATTGGCTTGCGGGCCCGCAGGTATTCGCCTGCAGGCCTGTGGTATTCGCCTGTGGTATTCGCCTGCGGTGCTAGCCTGTGGTATTCGCCTGCGGTGTTCGCCTGTGGTATCCGCCGAGCGGGAATTCGCCTGTGGCACTCGCCCGCGGTATTCGTCTACGGGCTTGGCTCCGCCGATCGGTAGTTAGCCTGTGGCATTCGCCACTGGGGCTCGCCTGCCGCATTAGTCTGGGGTATTCGCCAAGCCTGCGGTGCTAGCCCACGAGCCTGGTAATCGCCTGTGGTAATCGCCTGTGGTATTCGCATGCGGTGCTAGCCTGTGGTATTCGCCTGTGGTAATCGCCTGTGGTATTCGCTTGCGGGCCTGCAGGTATTCGCCTGCAGGCCTGTGGTATTCGCCTGTGGTATTCGCCTGCGGTGCTAGCCTGTGGTAATCGCCTGTGGTAATCGCCTGTGGTAAAGCCTCCGGATAATTAGCCTGTGGTAATCGCCTGTGGTATTCGCTTGCGGGCCTGCAGGTATTCGCCTGCAGGCCTGTGGTATTCGCCTGTGGTAGCCTCGCCGCCTGTGGTAAAGCCTCCGGGCCTGTGGTAATTAAGGTGGTAAATCGCCTGTGGTAAAGCCTCCGCTGGTAATCGCCTGTGGTATTCGCTTGCGGGCTTGCAGGTATTCGCCTGCAGGCCTGTGGTATTCGCCTGTGGTATTCGCCTGCGGTGCTAGCCTGTGGTATTCGCCTGCGGTGTTCGCCTGTGGTATCGCCTGCGGTGCTAGCCTGTGGTATTTGCCTGTGGTAATCGCCTGTGGTATTCGCCTGTGGTAATCGCCTGTGGTATTCGCCTGTGGTAAAGCCTCCGGATAATTAGCCTGTGGTAATCGCCTGTGGTATTCGCCTGCGGGCCTGCAGGTATTCGCCTGCAGGCCTGTGGTATTCGCCTGCGGTGCTCGCCTGTGGTAATCGCCTGTGGTAATCGCCTGTGGTAAAGCCTCCGGATAATTAGCCTGTGGTATTCGCCTGCGGGCCTGCAGGTATTCGCCTGCAGGCCTGTGGTATTCGCCTGTGGTATTCGCCTGCGGTGCTAGCCTGTGGTAATCGCCTGTGGTAATCGCCTGTGGTAATCGCTTGCGGGCCTGCACGTATTCGCCTGCAGGCCTGTGGTATTCGCCTGTGGTATTCGCCTGCGGTGCTAGCCTGCAGATCGTGAAGGAGAGGTCCAAAAACACATAAGAATTTTAACATTTTAACATCAAACCTTCAAAAACTCGTCGTCGTCTTCGACGGCGTCGTCGTCGTGCCTCCTCCTCCTCCTCCTCCTCCTCCTCCTCCTCCTCTTCCTCTCAGGTACGAGGGACAGATGCGGCACCCGATTCGGTGCGAGGACAATGAAGTAGAGCTATGGGAAGGGATGGGAGGGAGGGGTAGGATGTCAGATGTTGATGCACGCGTACCTGTGGTATCCACCGAGCGGGCACTAGCCTGTGGTATTCGCCTGCGGGGTCCTGCGAAGTCCTGCTTGGTCCTACTGCTTCTCCTGGGGGGGGGCGGCCTCTGGGGGGGGCGGCCTTTGGGGGGGGGGGCGGCCTCTGGGGGGGGGGGCCGGCCTGAGGGGGGGGCGGCCGGCCTGAGGGGGGGGCGGCCGGCCTGGGGGGGGCGGCTGGCCTGAGGGGGAGGCGGCCGGCCTGAGGGGGGGGCGGCCGGCCGGGGGGGGCGGCCTCTGGAGGGGGGGCGGCCGGCCTGGGGGGGGGCGGCCCGCTCCTACTGCTTCTCCTGCTCCTGCTGCTTCTCCCGCTCCTCTTCCTCTTGTCCTGCTCCGGCCCCTCCGCGTCGCCATCTTGGCTCAAGCCATTCGGTGTTGCCTTTGGTTGCCAGTTGCCGGTTCGTCCGAGGCTGGTCTTCCAGGCGCCCGATGGCGCTTTCCACGTACTCATGCAACGTGTGTGAAGAGCCGCTGGTCAAAAGCACGGCGTACGTCAAGCACCTGAGGAGTGACGATTGGCAGGGGCACCGGCCGGTCACGTGCAAAGATTGCTACGAGAAAGAAGATGAGTACGAGAGCAAGTACACGGATAAGGAGTGGAGGAGGACGTGCAAGGTGTGTCTGCCATTAATATAGCCAGAGTTCCCCCCCTGTGGATCAGCCACCCGCCGAAAGGGGGAATGTTGCTCGGTTTGGGGCGGGGTGGTCGAAGGTCCGGGGCTGGGCGAGGATGGGTGTTCGGACTCCTAGGCGCGCTGGTCGGAGCTCGACGGGGTCATCGAGGACGGCGCGAAGCGGGCCCGCGTGAAGAAATGGTCGGAGCTCGAGCAATCGGTCCGCAAGGATTATCCGGAGGCCTCCCGCTCCGAGCGCCGCAAGGCCACGCTGTTCGCCATCCAGAAAGTGGCGCGGTACATCGCCCTCAAGATTTCCCAAGCGCCCCCAGAGCAGCGGCGCCAGCGCGAGCAGGCGTTCGTGGAGTTCGACGCCGAGTGGGATAAAAAGGTGGCTGACCCCGAGTACGTGCCCGAAGTGAGGGCTTACAAAATGTCGGACCACGCGGCGCAGTGGGCCTCGGAAATCATTGAGGGACTATCGGAGCATTTCATCTGCCGGCACCGCGACTGCCGAGAATGCTCGAGGAGCTGCGACTGGCTGATGAAGGGCGCAGACCAGTACGGCTGCCCCCTTTGCTTGAGGCAGTACAGGCCCTGGGTCGAGGGAGGGAACTTGGCGCGAGCCCGCAGGGCGGGCGGCGGAACCGCCATAAAGCATAAAGATCTCCTGCAGGTGGCCCCGGGGTCCCGGGTCCCGGGGGGGCCCGCGCCGGGCTGCCCCCAAAGGTGGGGCGACTCCGTCCCCTCCTCTTTTTCCCCGCCTTGATGGCCCGATCCGGACGGCCCGGGAGGGTGCGCCCCCCCCTCCCCCATTCTGGCCCGCAGGCCAACAAGGTGTTCATCATCGACCTCGAGGAGGGCGCGGACGACGCGGAGAGGGCGGCGGACGCCCGCGCCAGCATGGCGCAGGCGTCCGACCGGTCACGGTTTCTCCTCATCGTGGCCCGACACCACTATGGCAACGCTCATCAACAAGTTCAAGGAGATCACGGCGAAGCTGGATGCGGTCCTCGACGGGGTGCCGGAGAAGGAGCAGTGGCGGTTCGTCTGCAGCGAGCTGCAGGCCAAGGCGGCGCACCCCCTCACGACACAGTTCCTCTCGCCAGAGAACATCGAGGAGTTGAAGAGGCTCAATTCGACGATGCGCTCGCCTTGGAGGTACGACCACATCCTCGACAAGGGGTTCTGGTCCTTCCGCCTGGCGGACCACGGGGTGGCGAATTTGGATCAGCCTCTGAGCCAGGACGACGTCCTGTCCATGTTCGCGTGGAGCAAGTGGCTCCTGCGCCAGTACAGTGGCTCCCGCCTGTGAGACCGCGCGCGGCGCCCCCGGCAGCCAGTTGCCGGTTCGTCCGAGGCTGGTCTGCCCGGGGGCGCTCGCGCGCGCGCGCGCGCCCGCCGGCTCAGCCACTTTGCATTTCTGCGCAGCGCCCCCGGCAGCCAGTTGCCGATCAGAGGAAAAGCTTTCTGACCCGGGCGGGTCGCATCGGACGGGGGCCTCGGGGCCGGGGCCATTGCAGCCTTCCGCCAGGTACATCCACGACCCGGTTAAGCAGGGGTCGTTGACCGAGGCCCTGGCGCAGGCGACCCACCGCGTCTTCCCGCCGTTCGCGCCTGAGCTGGCCGACACGAGGGCGACGTCCAGGCCTCGAGGGGCCGCCACTGTCGGCGCACCCTGGCCCCGCAGGCTCCCCGCCAAGCGGCGCGGCGACGCCGGGGTCACGAGGAGCGCCAAGGCCTTGTGCACCCGGCGCGGAGAGAGCCGGACGCTGCCAGGGCCGCCGGTGCCCGAGGAGAGCGCGGCCAAAGCCCCCGCGTCGCTGGTCGCTCCTGACGCGCCCGCGGGCCGAGGCGTCGGGAGGCGTTCCCTGGCGCAGCGCGCGGCGGCTGGGAGGACGTTGTCACGGCTGGTGCTTTTGATGGACATGCATTTCTTCCACGAGCCAGTCGTCTTCGGCACCGCGGATCCGCCGCGGCCGCGCGGGGGCCTTGTCGCAATCAGCGGAGGGCAGCTCGCGTTCATCCTGGGCGCATTCACCCGCCGGGGGAAGCCGCTCGCGGACATCGCCCCGCTGGTGGCGTGCCGCGACGGCGGCCGCGATCTCCTGAAGGCATCGCACAGTCACGCTACCACGTGCCCCGCAAGCTATCTCGTCGACGTCGGCCTCCACTGCGCAGTCGCCACCGGGGTCGCTGATCGACGCGGGGCGAGCATTCTGTTCGAGGATGTGCGCGAGTCGCGATGCGCCTTGCCAGAGCCGAAAGCGGACGACCTGCGCCAGATTCGCCAGGCCGCGCAGGCGTGGGCTGGCGGGGACATAGAGTTGCCGTGCGATGGCAGCTGCCACGTGGACCACAGCGTCGGTGAGATCATTCCCGCAGGACGCAGGGGGATGTGCCCACTCCCAGTCCCTCCGCCTTTGCCCGCGCCGATGCCGCGCGATTGATCTTACTGCGTCAGGCGAGAAGCGCCTGCGGTCCATGGCGGAGTCGCGCGCCGTGGCGCGCCGGTTGCCAGTTCGTCTGGGGCCGGTCGCCCAGCGAGTCCGCCACGGGCCGCGCGGCGCTTGGCCGCCGCTTCGGAGATGGCCTCGCCGCCGCCGAGAGGCCAGGGCGATGCCGACTCCGAGGGCGCGGGCAGATCGGCGCGGGGGGGCGCGGGGCGCGGCGGTGAGCAGATCGCCTCGCACAGGGTTGCAGAAGCATTTGGACGAGCAGAAGGCGCTTGGCGCGCCGCACCACGCAGCGATAAACAGCGAGGACCACAAGTGCTTCTGGGTGCTGGACTTGCCTTTGCCCCGGCAGTTCGACGCGAGGCGGAGGCGCTGCCGCACGTGCGCGGCGGCTGGTCTTCCGAACCGTTATTTCGCCACGGACGTCAGCGACGTGGTGGCCGCTGTGCCGGGCGTGCTCCACTTGCGCTTGGAGAAGCAAGGGTCGGTGCTCATGACCAAGCAGTTCCTGTTGCACCTCGTCCAGCTCTTCCACGATAGACTTTGTCTTCGGCAGACTCGCCGCGCTTTAGTGGAGCAATGCTGCGCTGGCGCTGCAGGGCTCCGAGCAGCCGGGCGAGTCCTCTCGTACTTGCGAGCCATTCCCACGGCGCCGGGCCTCAAGCAAATCTTGTTGACGGCGCTCGAGGGCTTCCTTGCCGAGGCGACCCGCCACATGCAGAAACACATCAACGTGTACTCGGGCGCCGTCATCAGGGGCGACGGCAATTACGTGCAGGCCCGAAAGGTCGCCGCGGAGGGCGACGGTGGGAGAGATCGCCCGCGCACGGTCCTGCTGGCCTGGGTGACCGTGGACGGGGCGCTCTACCAGCCGCCGACGCTTTCAAGGTCAGAAGATGTGAAGGATGCACTGCAGGACCTGGGCCCTCTGGCGGGCAGCTTCAAGCAGGACCGGCTGGAGGCAGGTCTCAGCCTAGTGGACTCGGCTCCAGCAGTGCACGCCACGGACGTCTACGGAAGGCAGCGGTTGCAGCTGAATGCTTTCTACAGGAGGATGTACCCGGGGCTCGACGCCGACGCGGCGGCAGGGGCCCCAACGCCGAGGGGCGACGCGACGGGCGCTCGGACGCGCTTCGCCGGTTCTCCGACCACAGTGACGGGTGACCCGCTGCACGACACGCTGGCTGTCATGCAGCTCATCAGCGCGGCCTCGCCAGACGCGCGCAATATGTGCTACGACCACAAGGGTATCCGATTGCTTTTCGGGTCAACCCGAGTCCAACGCGGGCATGCCCCCACCATCCTGCAGTGTTGTGTCCTCGCTCAGAGTGCACATCGCCCCATTTTCCCCCTTCTCCCTTCTCCCGCCCGCCCCCGTTCCCGCCCCCCGCTTCTGCCCTCCGCGTCGCCGTCGTCATCGGCGTCGTCGTCAGGCCAGCATCGTCATCATTACCGTCATCATCGTCACGCTTGTCATGACCATCACCGCCTTCGTCGCCATCGTCGTCATCGCCATCACCATCAACAGCATGCCCCCACAAGGAGTTCCACCCCACTTTGGTAAGGAGCTCCACCTCTGGACCCAGCGGCAGGGTTCGCATGCGCGACCGCGCCAAGGGCAAGCCCCTTGCGCGCCTCGTTGCCCGCTGGGGAGGTCCACCAAAGGCCCCAGTGGCAGCGCCGGCATGGCGTTGCCCCGCGCATATCTGCATGCCCCGCACGCGGATCGCTGCCCGACAGGGCGCCCCGCCGAAAGCCCCAGCGGCAGGGTCCGCATGGCGCTGCCCGGCGCAGGAATGCGCACCCGTCACAAATTTCGTGACCCCACGTAGAGCTCCCGATCCTTCGTCCCAATTGCATCGCGGTGCTCACAATTCCTTGCTTTTTTTCCGCCATGATAATTTTCATTGGGGCGGGGGGGGAGAGGGCATCACTCAGGTTCTCGCGGGAGTACAGGTAACTTCCCCCGCCCCGCCGGCCCCCCCCCCTCGACTGCCCGACCAGCGCCGCGAGGACATCCTGAACCGCTTGTCGCTGCCGCCGCGACGCCCCGCTGCCGCCGCCCCGGTGCCCGCAGAACAGCTGCCCTCCGCACCAGTTGCCGGCCCGCCCGATGCGGGCGCGGGGGGGCCAGCTGCGCAGCCGCTGGCAGTGGAGCACCATGAGATGCTGCGCAAGGCTGTGGAAAACACCAAGGATCGACATGGCCCGGGGCGACGGCGCCGTGGCAGCGAGCGCGCCCCGTCAACCCGCAATTCCCCAGCGGGGCGCCCTCGCCGGCCCGGTCGCCGCGGCCCGCGCTAGCTCGCGCCAGGAACAGACTGCAGAGACAATCAGGGAGAACCCTGCTTCTGCAGACGCGGTTGCAGCGTACTTGAAGCAGCCGCAAGTGGACCAGGAGCCCACGTGGCGCACAATTTTCGGCGCGTCGCCGACGCGGGGCGCCGTTCTTCGACTGTGCGCAGCATTCGGGGTGCATGCGCACGACACGCTGGGATACCACGGCTTTGAGACGCTGGCTTGTTTCAAGAATGCCATCCGGACGCACCTCAAGTGGTACGCGCCCGGGCGCAAAACGTGCCGGGCGAGGCGCGGCATCTGCAGGCGCCTTTAGGCCGGCCCGCGCCTCCACGGCAAGCGCTCGGCCTTGACCATGTCCGTGCAGGCGCACTACGACCGCCTGCTCAAGCCCCTGCGCCTCGAAGGCTTATGGAAGTGGCGCGACGCTGCGCTGGCGATCGCCGATGCTGGCGCCCCGCTGCAGACCGGCGCCGTGGCCGTGGAACGCTGGTGGGCGAGCCTGAAACACATGATGCCGGCTAAGGCGGTTTGCATTTCGGAGAGGTGGTTCCGGGCTTTGGTTGGCCTCGCTTATTTGCGGCGCAACCACCGGCACTTCGCGAGCGGGTCTTTGCCCAGCTGGTGCCAGATGGACCCTTTGCTGCAGCGGCGTCTGGCATACTTCACGGACTGCGCCCGGCTCGTGCAGTCCGAGGGCGACGGCCACTTGAGCACCATCTTCGACCCGTTCCGCTGAGGCACCCTGGGCCAGCAGCTGCTCCCCTGGGGAGGGGGGATGCAGATGCCGGCGGTTGTCACTTCGCCCGCGGCTGGCGCGGCAGCAATGCCGACTCGCGGAGGGGCGCGCCCGCGCCGCTGGTTGCCGGTTCGTCCGAGGCCAGCGGCGCAGGGCCGGCCGCGGCTCGCCGCCGCGCCCCCCCGCGAACAGGCGCGTGCGCGGTCGCGGGGGACGACCGCGACGTCCATCGCCTGCTCGGTAGGACTACCGATAAACCGTCCCAGGCCACTCCCCCTCTCCTGCGCCGCGCGCCGGTTGCCGGTCCGTCCGAGGCCGTCCGCGCGGGCCGCGGGGAGGGGGGCTTGGGATGTGCTGGAAATCATTTGCAGGGGCCGCTCGCGCACTACCGCCCCCACGCCGTGCGTTGGCGCCTGGGCCTGTGTGCTTGTTGTCGCGCGCCGTTGGTCCCGCTCGCGTTCGACATGATGTTTTTTGAGATGGGCCCCGCCAGTCTCCCCGGGGGCAGGAGCATGGGCGCGCGGCGCCCCATGCTACATTTCGCTTGCTGCATGCTCATCCCCGCAGGGGCCCGCGGGGCAATTCAAAATCCATGCGCCCAAATATGAGGATTCGCGCCAGGGGCCGCCCGCGCGCGTGCAGAGCACGTGCTGCGTCTCCCTTGCGCCGTTGGCGCCGGCTGGCCAAATCGTTTTTTTGGTTTGAGAAGGTGGCTCGCGGTGATCGCGCAGGGAGCGCCCAGGCACAATGCGTGCCATTTGACATCGCATTGAACCCAGAGCGCCCGTTCGCGGCGCAATGCTGACTCTTCCCGTGCCCGCGGGCCCCGAGTCATTTGTTCCAGCTGCCCGCGCCGCCGCTACTGCTCCCCCTCGCCCTGCATTTAGTCCCCCCCCATCCCCCTCCTCTGCCTCCTCCTTCTCCTCTACCCCCCTGTCCATCGCCCCCTTCCCCCGGCCCAACCACGCCATGCGCTCGAGTGCATGGCGCGAAGCCCGCGCGCGGAAGCGGCAGCAGCAAAACAACAGACGTGTCCGCATGTGTTTTGCACCCGCGTCGTCGTCGTTTTCGGCAGCCCCCCGCGGGGCCCCCAGCTGCATCCGCCGCCCGAGGTCTTCACATGTCCCGCGGTCGGCCCCGGGGCCCTCGACGTCGTCCGCGGCAGACCCTGGGGCTCAGCCCTCCCAGGGCGCCCAAAACTCTACATCCTTCCTGTTTACCCCCCCCTCCCCCCCCCCGCACTCCCGCCAAAACCTCTGCGGCCTCTTATTTCTCCGCGCTTTTCCGCGCACTTCCACCACAGACATCCATAACTTGCCAATCCCTCCGCACTCCCTCCCAGACATCCCCGAACCTCCCAGTCGGAGCATGTCAGGGGCCTGGCCGGAGCTGGGACGGAGCTGGAGCGAGTCTGGCCGGAGCTTAGCCGGAGCCAGGTGCCCGAGGGGCCGAGGGGTCAGGGGTTTGCCTTCCGCTTCCGGTGCTCTTCATTCTGCTCTGCCGCATTCAAGCCCCCTTTCCCTCATGATACTCGGCTTCGCCCGCGCCATCATTCCCCTCCTGGGCTCGATTGACCTTCGTGTATCTTGCTTTGGGGCCCTCTTGGTGCCCTCCTGGCGCCCTCTTGGAACCCCTCGGAGCCCTCTTGAGGCCCCTCAGAACGCCCCGGGAAGCCCCAAGAGGGCCCCCGTTGAGCCCCTCCAACTCCTCAGTCTCCTCCAACTCCTCAACTCCTCCCTATCCCCCTCCCTTCCATTGTGGTTCAAGGCTCAAGCCACTGCGCCCGCCTCCGCCGCCGGTTGCCGGTTCGTCCGAGGCCGGCGCGCGGAGGTGTCGTGCCCCCTCCAGCCGGTTCCCGGTTCGTCCGAGGCCGGTGCAGGGCGGGCCCGGGTGCGACCCCAGACCGCCGCGTGAGCCCGCGCAACATGCGCATTGCCGTGATATTGTGCAGTGGGCGCCAACTCGCAGATTTCGAGGCCGACCCGTCGTGGCACTTGGACGACGTGCTCGCGGCGATGCCGAGACCTGATGGTGAGTATGGTTGCAGGTTGCGTGTCTTCTTTGAAGAACGCGAGCTGCTGGCTACCATGACTTTGGCGGACATCGGTGCCCACGGCGGGTGCAGGCTCACGTGCGTGACGAGCGAGCCCCGCCGCATAGCAACCCGCTGCGGCAAAATGGTTTACATATGGTCGGCCGCCACCGGCGCGCGCTTGCGCGAGCTCGAAGGCGATCTGGAGCTGGTCGTCTCGGCCAATTTCTCGCCGGATGGGCAAAAATTGGTAACGGCGTCGTGGGATGGCACGGCGAAGATCTGATCGGCTTCGGGGGAGTGCCTGCAGACTCTCCGCGGCCACCCGCGCATCGTGCTCAACGCTGTCTTCTCGCCCAGCGGGGCGCTCGTGCTGACCAGTGGCGATGGCGGTCCGACCATCATTTGGTCCGCCGCTGACGGGAAGCGCCTCCGCACTCTGCCTGGACACCGCGGGGTCTTCTCGCCCGACTCCCTGGGAGTGGTGACCTTGGAGCGCTTCGCGAAGTCGAAGTGCCCGTCGGCGTCAGTGTGGTCTGTTTTGCGCGGGCAGCGCGTGCTCGTTCTCTCCGAACACCTCGCAGAGATCCATAGCGCAAGTTTCTCGCCAGACGGCCGAGACGTGCTGGCCGCCTCGCAAGACTGGACAGCGAAGCTGTGGTCGGCGTCCTCGGGGGCGTGCCTGTGCGCGTTCCGCGGGCATGGGGGCCCATTGTTAGTCGCAGTGTTTGCTCCGAGCGGCCGCGAAGTGCTGACGACTTCGACCGACATGGCGGTGAGAATATGGTCTGCCACCACCTCGGACTGTCTGCGCATGCTCGAGAGCCACCAGGACTGGGTGCATTGCGCTGCCTTCTCGCCAAGTGGTCAGCAGGTTCTCACTGCGCCCTGGGATGGTACTGCGATTGTTCGGCCGAGGACGCATGCCAGAAAAAGACAGAAGACTGGCGACTCCGGGGGCGCACCCTGCACGCTGGGCGGCCCGCTGTACGACATTTCATCGGCCGCTTTCTCGCCAGACGGCCGACACGTGGCGACCGCTTCCCACCGCGACGTCGTGAAGGTCTGGTCGGCGGCGACCGGGGAGTGCTTGCTCACGATGCAGGGCGCCGGGGATATCGCGCTCTTCGCGCCGTGAGGATATCGGGGGTCAGCCGCGGGCTTCGTCGCCGCAGGCGCCGCCGGCTCAGCCGCAGGCTTTGCGGCCGGAACACTGGGCCATTGCATCTCCGAGGCTCGGCACGTTACAACTTGTAGTTGCTTTCTTTGCATGGGGCAAGTCTGTTCGCCACGGTAATCGCCGGGGGGTGCGGACTGCGATTCAGCCCAATCCGTTTTTCCTTGGCCTCCCATGGCTGATTTGGCCCCCCAGGGTGGCATAGTTCCAAGCACCGCTGAATGGAACATGGGCCTTGCTCAATTCAGGAACCTTGGCGGTGCATGTCGTCTGACCCGGATAAGTGTTGGCCCGGCCATATGGAATTCTCAGGTCCCTCCTTCAGCGCGCAGACTTACCGGGGAAGTAAATTGAAATTTCGAGGTCGCCCGCCAGAGGCTTTCCAGTCTGCAGATCATTCGGAGGCGGCTCCCTGGGTTTCTGGGTTCCTGAGCCTATGAGCTGGGTTTCTGCCCCGCGGGGGGCAGCCCCGCCCCCCCCCCCGCGCGCCGGTTGCCGGTTTGTCCGAGGCCGTCCGCGCGGTGGGTGGGAAGCGGTGACATCAATGAAACTTTTCGCATGAGAAGTATTGCCGCTGGTCTCGCGCGATCGCCCCCAACGGGCGCATTTGCGCGGATGCGCGTGCAGGGAACGACCGCGACGTCCATCGATTGCCCGTTAGGGGTTCCAGGAACCGTTCCCGGCCACCCCCCCGCCGCCCCGCTCGCCGGTTGCCGGTCCGCCCGAGGCCGTCCGCGCGGGCCGCGGGGAGGGAGGCCTGGGACGCGATATAAGTCTTTCGCGCGGCCCGCTCGCGCACGATCGCCCCCAGGCCGCGCATTGGCGCCGATGCACTTGCCTTGTTGCCATTGCCAGGGCAAACGCGCGTTGTCGCGCGCGTTTCGCCCCGCTCGCTTTAAATTTGTTTGTGTGCAAGGGAGGCTGGGCGCCCCGCGCCACCCTTCGCCTGCTGCGTGTTTGTCCCGCATAGGTCCCGTGCTGCTCCTAACCTTCGTCGCCCATCCTCCTGCTCCTCGGTCCCTCCTCCTCCCCCGCCCCCCAATTCATTGCCCTCTTGGCGCTCTTTTGGCTCTTGTGGCTCTTATTTCCTCGTCTTCGCTTTTGCTTTCTACGTCCTCGTCATCATTCTTGCCCCCATGTCCGTGGCCGCGTGGCAGCTCCTAGGTCCCCATCGTCCTGGGTCTTCGTAATTGCACGCATGTCCTCGTGATTCTAGATCCCCCTCGGGCCTCATCGAATCTCTGTGATAACATCCGGTTTCGTTAAGTTGTAGAGGCCCCCATTTTCTTTCTAAGTGTTTCAGGGTCTCGCTTGCCAACCGCCAATCGCCATTGTCACTGAAGTCGTTCTGGGCAAAGCGCACGCATACGTTCTGTGAACTAACATGAGGTATCGGCCGAGCCAGGGGTATCAGCCCACGGGCCGGAGGTAGAGGCTTGTGGTATTAGCCGGCGCTGCAATTGGCCGGCGCTTCAATCGCTTCGCTCGTTCCGCCGGCCCATATTGTAGCATCGTTGGCACCTCCTTGCGTGCTCGGGGGGGGGGCATTTGAGGGACCTCCTGGGGCCGCTTGGGGGCCTCTTGAGTGCCTCGTGGGGGCCTCCTGGGGGCTTCTTGGGGGCCTGTTGGGGCTTCTCAGGGGCCTCTTGGGGCCTCGTGGGGGCCTCTTCAAGCCGAGGGCTCGAAGGCCCCTTTTAGGGCTTTATTGGGGTCCTCTTGCGCCGTCTCGGAGGCCTCTTGGGCCGTGTTGGGGCTCTCCTGGGTGCCTCTTAGGCCCTGTGGTATTCGCCA